CATCAGGTGACCTTTCGACACTTGGCTATGGCCCTTGAGTTTGGTGGAAAATGAGGAAAGAAGAAATAAAAAATCATTCGAAATAATAATCTAATACCTTTATACTTACTGGTACTGGTACTACCAGAAAATATGGTCGGTATACTGCACTTTTTCAAAGTGGTGCAGTTCTCATGTCTAATAAAACAGTCTTCTGTGAAATGTTTGGAACAAATATGATCATTTTGTTTCGGACGCCAATTCACAATATTTATGCTTTTAAGCCATATATTTAGTCTAGGTTCAAGTGGAAACCTGTTAATTAATAAACATTTGATAATCAACTGTTGTTGGCAACTTTGTTTGTTATCAGATATGGGTAGGAAAGAACATCGATAAGTATTATAGACAAGGAACTCGACAACCCTATTGAATTTTATTGTTTATCAAAAATCAGTAATATATAGCCAAAGATGTTGTTATATATAATATTAAGATTAGAAACAAATTTTTAAGTACTTATATTATCAAATGGTTTTAATTTGTTTAATATTTGCTGCAAATTCACTTACTTGTGAAATGTTATACCACTTCCCTTTTGGTAACGAGTTTTACAGATTACGCACACTCTCATTATTAGTAAAAATAATTCTTATTATGTAACTAATATTATACACGATGAAACAACATAAAATACTTTCGTTTTTTAGTTTAAAAGTTCAAAATACGGACTTATTAAATAAGACAATATAAATGAGACAACAGACTTTGACATATTATGTCAATTTTATTTTTAAAGACATCCTTTAGCGGCGCTTCAAATTGGCACAGTCATTTTCTATGGTATAGCCAGTCCAGCGTACTTGTATATATAGAGGTCAGTGAGTCGCAAGCATCAACACTCACGCTATAAATACCTTACAAACCTTTTTTGTATGGATGCCATTAAAAAAGTAATTAAACGTGGCAGAGTCACGCTGCTATATTATGGCTGAAGCACGTCGGGTCGGTTCGACCGGGGTAGGGCGACGCTCTCACAGAATACCAGCGTAAAAGAGCAGCTTAATACTGCTGTGTTTTGGCATAGTGAGTGCAGATATTCGGGGACCTGTTTTTACTAGAAACGAGACATTTCATCTTAGTCCTCAGGGGTGACAACGCATCTGCGTTTTGATTCTTAATCGAGGATAAATGTAGATGTCTATGGACCACAGCATCCACTTACAATGAGGTGGATTGTGTTCGTTTGTCAAATCAAAATGAAATCAACTCATTTATTTGCAATCCAAGTGTACATAATTGGTCTTGAATTAAAAATCACCATCACCCTCATTCTATAAAAAATGTGGGCAATATATGCATATAAGCTCAGAAAAGAACGATAATGGGCTTATTAGTTTATTATACTTAAAGTCATTGTCGATCTTATGACAAAACCGAAAGATTTGGTGGACTTTCTCACTACATAATTGATCAGACAAAAGCTGATAAACTTTGATTACTCCTAAGTTTTTTTTATATGGGTGGGTCGGTCAAAAGTTTTCATCAAACCTTTGACAACATCTTGGTCGTACAGACCGCTCAGTGACCAATCAATTCACGATCGAACCTGTCGCATACGACTGAAGTTCGTGAGATAGTTTGCAAAACTGTCACAACACGAATGGCCTTCTTCAATAGTATAAATAATATATAAACACAGCAGAAGGACTTCATATTGTATCAATAATGTCCTCCAGACCGAATTTCGGTCACGGCGGCCAGCCTCAACGGAGACTAGTTATCGGCGCAGGACAGGATTATAGTGTCCACGTGTATGCGCAAGTACAGGTGCACTGTCTATTCCCTCACTCTCATAATTCGATGGGATGGTAAACCGACACGACGGGAGAGAGATCAGGCGCATGACCAACGAGTTTACGTGCTTTCCGATGCATGGCGGTGAAACACCGCCAACTTGCTGTCTCCGGGCGGCTACTGAGAATTGTTTAACAGAAAACTCAATAATTGATTTTTTAACCCGACCCGAATGGATTTGAACCCAGTACCTCATGATCAGCACTCGCACTTCTACAACAACTAGACTAACGAGGCAGTCAATTTTGTATTATTTTACAATTATTTTGTATTACGTTACAGCCCATTAAAAGTCCACTGCTGAACGTTGGCCTCCCCCATAGATTTTTTTTAAAACGTTACCACTATGATTTTCTCCTGTATCTTGAGGGTAGTTTACAAACATAAATTTCACAAGGATAATATGATATATATGCAGACCTAGAACAATTACTTGTAGGATTCGGAACCGCGGTTCTCAACACTGCAACTCATTGCTAAGCCACTGCACCACGGAGCTGTCAAATTACCTCACACACATTTGCCATAGTTGCCACGCTTGGCAAGCGTATTGGCAACCGCAGCTTTTTTATTTTTAATCGTTATTAAGAAGATGTTGCTGCCCATCTTCTGATTCGTCTCCCTCTGTCGCCTCTTACGACACCCACGGGATGATATGTGATAGTGGATATTCTTACACCGTCACTACACGGTACCTTTTGTTTTATCGTACTAAAAATAATTTGTGTTTTGACGAAAATATCATGTGATAAAATTACTTTAATTTAAATACGGAGACATTTTAAAGAATTGTTTACACAGCTATCAAAATGGCCCTTATGGAGCTGACAAGACCCAAATTGGTTGTTTAGAGACAACTTTTACCAAATTCGTTCAGTTTATGACAGCGGCAAAAACATATGTTTAATCTTGAACATATATCTAAGAGAATTTTGTTTCCAAAACACGTTTTTGAAAAAGTTTTCTCGTTTTATCTATATATATCTATATATATATATATATATATATATATATATATATATATATATATATATATATATATATATATATATATATATCAAGCTTGCGACGATTTTTGCACAAGCACATAAGAACATAAGGGCTTGAATTTGATGTCAAGATGGAAGTAATTAGTACAGTGTAAAAGAGTGAGCAACTTAAGATGAGCCGAAAAATTATAAGAATCTCCCAGATAGAGTCACGCTGCAGCTATAATATGGTTATAGCAGGAATGGGACGGTTCAAGTGGGGAAGGACCACGCTCTCACAGAATACCAGTGTAAAATAGCAGCTGAATGCTGCTGTGTTTCGTATGATAAGTATAGAGAACTGGAAACCCTGTTTACTGGATACAAGGCATTCCATCTTAGTCCTCAGGGGTGACAACGCATCTACGTTTTGATAATTAATCGAGGATAGATGCAGATTTTTATGGGCCACAGCATCCATTTACAATCAAGAGGACTGTGTGCTCATTTGTTACCCTTATTTCTATAAAATGTGTCTTCTATCCATACCATCCGGATGAATGGCGATCAACCACTGTGCGAATTACCAAAAGTTTTCTTCTACTCACAACTTCCTTGTGAAATCGACTACCACTAGCGATTTTTCCAGACTGATATACTAACTTAGGGACCTTTAAGAAACGAGTTTACTCTCTTTTTAAAAGACGACAATGGACCTGCAGTTCGGTATTTATTAACTTCCCAGTGGGAAGTTATTGTAATGGGTCCGATTTTACAAATTGTAAATTTTAACATATCTCCACGTTTCAAGGTCTTTAGAGTCGAATAGTATGGTTTTTAAGAGGATGTCCGTGTGTACAAATGTACGTATGTATGTATGTTCAGATTCAATTTTCGCCCCATGTATATCAAGAACAAAGAGTGATCTTGACATGGGACCAGTTTCATTTAACGCATAATTATGTAACTTAGACCTCATTAAATTTTCAGCAAAATCGGTGAAGTCGATGTTTGTGCCGAATGAAAAATTGTATAAAATATTGAAACATATGAAATTTTTATTCTTTTAACTGGAAAGTTAGTTGTGTGGACCTTTTCGGTCGCACCTAGACCGCTTTATTTAGCTTCTTATTTACTACCAGGTGAGCTGCATACTCATGTGCTCCCTCTTAAATAAAAAAATAACAAGTTTAGTATCGCTATTTAACAATTTTAATGACCGACGATATCTAGAGGGGCCTGTTCTTTATCCACTTTTATAAAAGAAATCAGGAAAAAATAAAAAACAAGTTTAATATCGTTATTTACTAATTTTAATGACCGGCGATATCTAAAGTAAGCCGCACGTTCTTTATCCACTTTTATAAAAAAATTAAGAACAAGCTTAATATCGTTATTTACTAAATTTAATTACCGATGATATCTAAAGTGAGCCGCACGTTCTTTATTCACTTTTATAAAAAAAATGAAGAACAAGCTTAACATCGTTATTTACAAATTTTAATTACCGGCGATATCTAAAGTGAGCCGCACGTTCTTTATCCTCTTTTATAAAGAAATAAAGAACGAGCTTAATATCGCTTTATACCAATTTTAATGAACGGCGATATCTAGAGGTGAGGCTGTACATTATTTATCCACTTTTATAAAAAAAATAAAGAACAAGCTTAATATCGCTTTATACTAATTTTAATGAACGGCGATATCTAGAGATGAGTCTGTATGTTATTTATCCACTTTTATAAAAAAAAATAAAGAAAAAGCTTAATATCGCTTTATACCAATTTTAATGAACGGCGATATCTAGAGGTGAGGCTGCACGTTATTTATCCACTTTTATAAAAAAAATAAACAAGCTTAATATCGTTATTTACCAATTTTAATGAACGGCGATATCTAGAGGTGAGCCGCACGTTCTTTATCCACTTTTATAAAGAAATAAAGAACAAGCTTAATATCGTTATTTACTTATTTTAATTACCGACGATATCTAAAGTGAGCTGCATATTCTTTTTTTCACTTATATATATGTAATAATAAATTGGTAATAAATTTTTTTATAAAAATACTTTTATAAAAAAATAAGCTTAATATCGTTACTTACCAGTTTTATTGAACGGCGATATATCGAGGTGAGCCGCACGTTCTTTATCCACTTATATAAAAAAAAAGAAATAGCTTAATGTCGTTATTTACCAATTTTTATGACCGGCGACAGCGCAGCGACGGCGTTCAGTATGACCACGAGCCAGCGCCACTCGCTCCACATATTGTCACGTCATCACCGAAGCCAACGCGCACTGCTCTCACGATCTGCTAACAAAGGATAAAACGTTATGATTTCTTATAATGTCCTCCAGACCGAATTTTGATCACGGCAACTAGCCTCAACGGCAACTACCTGTCTACACTGGACAGGCTTATAGTGGCCGAGTGTGTGCGCAAGCACAGATTCACTCTCTATTCCCTCACGCTTATAGTCCGTTGGCACGGTAAACCGGCTGAACCGGAGAGAGATCGGGTGCAGGACTAACGGCCTTATTTGTCTTCCGCGGCACGGGTTGAAACACTGCCTACTTTCCAGGCTGCTACAGGGAATTTCTTAACAGAAAACTCAGTAACTATTGACTTTGATGATTGGTACTCAGTACGATGATCTTGACTTATTTACTGATGTATTGAGAAAACTTATTAGTAAATTAAGAAATATTCTAAATGACATTGTATAATTCTTTAACCCTGATATGGAGTTTATTTACTATTTTAATGATGTGTAATATTAATATGACTATTTTGTTTATTTTTTTACTATTTTTTTGTTTGATTAGAGATACTTTTTTCTATTTTATTTTTATTTTAATTTCATGTGATTTATTTTGTAATTTAATGTTATGTGTTTTATTTAATTAAGATTATGACTTAAAATAGATAATGTTAACTTAAGTATGTAATTTTAAAAGCATATTGTAAGCATGTATCTAATAAATAAATAAAAATCTAATTTGTTTTGTCCCGACCATAACTCCAAACCCCAAACCAAGACTTCATTATCAACAGGCGCGTTCGTGATCAACTAGACAGATTTCTTATGTATATAGGAATAGTACAGATTAAAATAAAACTGTTTTATTTTATGGATTTTATAGCGTTTCATTTAAATTATGGCTCTGGGTGACAGGCGTGTGTGTTTATGTACACGTATTCACTATTTTTATTTATTTGAATTCCCCGCGTTTAGACTGTTTTACAGGAACAGATGACTGATATAGCCCAACGGATTAGTAAGCTTGTTATAGGTGGTAGAGCCACGCTGCACCTATAGTATGGTTGTATCACGAATGGGTCGGCTCGATCGGGGGAAGTACCAGGCTATCACAGAATACCAGCGTGAAATAACAGCTAAAATACACAACATGGTGTTTTGTATGGTGAATATATAGAACCAAAGATTCCTTTTACTGGAAACGAGATATTCCCTCTTATTGCTCAGGGTTAACTTAACAACGCATCTGCATTTTGATTGAGGATAAATGTAGATATCTATGAAGCAAAGCATCCAGCTACCATCAGGTGGACTGTGTGCTCGTTTGTCATCCTTATTCTATAAAAAAAACATTGCTACATACAAAGGTTAGTGTACGTGAATGGTGCCGTTGTACGCGTGAGTGACTTTATAGGTATGTCCCTCCGCTTAGAGCGAATAAATTGTCTATTGAAAATCGGACGGTGTGAGGCAAATCGTATCGGCGGGAGGGGGGTTGAGTGACATTTCTATACATAGTACTATTATTATATATCCTGTGCTACAGCTCCAATTAGCCCCGAATAGACTACTCATAAGCAATATAACAGCTTTCGTAAATCACAGGATATTAATATTTTCTCAGGGGAAATATTTAATTTCGAAATTCTCTTTATTATGGGTATGGTAGTGAAAGCCGGGTGTGGCAGAGGAAGCACGAAAGTAGAATAAATGCTGTAGAAATAAGGTCTTTAAGGAGTATGCTTGTTGTCTTTAAGGGTTGAATCTGAATGACAAGGTGAGAAATTGCGTGATAAGAGATAAATGTGGTATGCAAGATAATGTAGTGACCAGGATTAAGAAAGGAATGCTTCGGTGGTTTGGTCATGTAGAAAGAATGAATGAGGAAAGAGTGACAAAGCAAATTTATATGGCAGATGTGAACGGCAGAGTCGGGAAGGGACGCCCTAGAAGAAAGTTTATCGACCAAATTGGCGATATTTTGAAAATTGGCCACGTTAGAAGTACCCTTAACCGACGAGCATGTATGCGTGGATATATGGATGTAAAGGTGGCGAGAGAGGTGTGTCAGGATCGTGCCAAATGGAAGTCCGTAGTCTCTGCCTATCCCTCTGGGTGACAAGCGTGAGTGTTTATAATTATGATTTATATGTCTTTATTATGGACAGTATTTTTTTACATGAATAAGAGTAAAAAATGGTGCTATATCATCAAAATTTAAGAGATAGGTACCAATATTACATTAAAATGATATAGGAATTGTGACACCAACATCATTTGGTAAAGTAAAAGAAAAGTCACCCTTAAACCTTCCCACTGCTGTGCACAACCTCATTTCCGAATAGGTTTGAGGGCAAGCAAGTGTCTAATGCGTGTTGGCTGATTTCAAATGTCTCGAAGTATTATTTTTTAAATTCTTAGACATGTAAGTTACCTTACGATGTTCTACACAGACGAGCACGTTGTAAGTCTCCACTTAAAATTGCAATTACGGTTAATTTCATTGGTGACGGTGGGGTCGAACCCGGACTACATGCATTTTACAACTCGCTTAGCTCCTGTGCCACCACGACGACACCATTTACAAGCAAAAAAACCTAGTTCTTTGTAATATTTTGCAAACGTAAGCCCACATGCTTTGTGTAACGTGTACGCTACGCTACACATACTTTTTCCTCCAACTTAGTCTGCCCTTTTTCAATCCTATTCCCCACCTATAACGGCTGTTAAACGTAAAATATACTGCGCACTGAAGCCGTATGTACTAAACGTTATATCTGTGAATACACCTGAGATCTCGCGCTGAATTATTAAGTGCTGGTGAAGTGCGGTTAACTGCTTGATTTTAACATGGTAGAGCCGCCCCGCAGCTATATTATGTTTGAAGCATTAATGGATTGGTTCGACAGGGAAAGGACCACGCTCTCACCGATTACCAGCGTAAAATAGCAGCTCAATGCTGCCGTGTTTCGCATGGTGAGTGTAGAGAACCGGAAACCCTTTTAACTGGAAACGAGGTAATCCATCTTAGACCTTACGGATGACAACGCATCTGTATTTTGATTTTAAGGACTTCAAAAAAGGAGGAGATATTCAATTCGACTGTATATTTTTAAATGTGTGTTACCTCAGAACTTTTCTCTGGATGAACTGATTATGATGATTCCTTTTTTATCTAAAAGCTGTTACTTTTCATGTAGTCCCATATAAATTTAATCAAGATTTGATTAGTAGTTTGTGAGTTATCTTTAATAATGCATATTTTATACGTGGTATAGCCATGCTGCAGTTATATTAGTAGTATAGTTATAGCACGAATGGGTCGGCTCGGCCGGGGAAGGACCACGCTCTCACAGAATACCAGCGTGAAATAGCAGCTTAATGCTGCTGTATTTCGTATGGTGAGTATAGTGAACCGGAGAACCTTTTTACTGGAAACGAGGCATTCCATCTTAGTCCTCACGGGTGACAAAGCATCTGCATTTTGATTCGTAATCGAGGATAGATGTAGATGTCTATGGGCCACAGCAACCACTTACCATCAGGTGGACTGTGTGCTCGTTTGTCACCCTATCCTAAAAAAAAACGTTAAACTCCGGTTGCACAATTAACTTTATATCTTTTTCTTTTTTATTTAAGATTTCTCAAATTTGTTTAACATTTTTTACAGAACGATTTTTGACGATACACACGGGATGATATGGAGTAGTGATTTCTCTTACGACGCGACGCCACTACACGGCAATATTTTTTTAAATAATATTAACAATGCTATAAACGTTACTAATATTCGCCTTAACCACTCTTGGTAAGCTTAAATTGCTTGTGTTACGAGTGGTTCACGCCAGTAGTCGAATGACGGATTCAAACCTACGACCTTTTTGAGTTCGCGGTCCGCGTCCTGCCATTAGGCTACTGTCGCTTCAGAATATTTTTTTGTATCGTATTATGTTTTTCTCCCTATATCGTGGAGGCAATTTACAAACGTAAATTGCGTCACGGGCCTGTCAAAAATTAAAAAAAAAAAACCGTGTAGTGGTGACGTAAGAATATCCACTATCCCATAGCCATCTACTACTTACTACTATCACTAGCCATCCGAAGAACTAAGTTTCTAGAAAATCTACACTCGCACACTCGTCCCTTTGCGCGCGTTTACTTGAATATTCCGGATGCTTCTTTGCTAATTTATATAAATAGGCGCTGCAAGATGCGATCGAGGCAATGTTGATTTGGCGAGACAAGCGAAGCTTCGGAGCGGAATAAAGTGAATTAGTGTGTTTTATTAATAGTGTTTTAAGTTTTAATGGTGTAAAGTAAATTAAAGTGTTAA